CCAACTCGCTGTTGAGAGACCGGACCTTCTCGAGCAGTTCTTCTTCGAGCTTCTCGTCATCCTCCTTTAATCGAATTAGTGAAAAGTCTAATAGATCTGACGCCGAGTAACCTACCTCTTTGAGGGTGTCTCCAAGAGAGTCGAAGTCAACCTCGATGCCATAGTCCTGAACGGTAAAGGCGTCTCCAACCCCGTTGGCATCTTCATCCACGTCCATGGCGTCTGGATCCGCTGCTTGCATCAAATCGTCAATGGGAAGCTGATCCAGGGGGTTGGAGTCGTCTGTCAGCGGGATATCGATATCTTCCAGCTTACAACGCCGGAGAAGAGCGTAACGACTGGACGAATTGCGTTGTATCTCTGCCTCAAGGGCATTGACATTCTTCAAAGTGCCCTCAACTTCTCTGGTGTGCTTCTGAAGCTCCCTCCGGTGATGTGTCAGGTTCTCCGCCGACTGAGCATATGCCTCCTTCTGCTCCTCGAGCCGTTCTCGAAGAACGTCAAGTTCAGCATTGTACTCATCCATTTGGTTTCTGATGCGCTCCTGTTCGGCCTGAAGCTCCTGGATTAACTCCTCGTCACGTTGGTGCTGTGCTTGAAGGCTAGCAACGCGGTCGATCGTAGCCTGCAGTCGCTGCCGCTCAAAGCTTAGCTGGTTCTCAATCCTGCTCTTCTGCGTCGTGAATTCGAGCTTCTTTTGAGCTGCCTCCTCCTGTAATGATCCCTGCTGAACTTCGTACTCGCGGATGTTGGCATAGCCCAAACGTTTGCAGAACTTTTTGTACACTTCATCCTCTACGCTGCTGACCTTCTGTTGAGATGCTGCAATAGTCTCATCGAGTTCCTGTAGTGAATCCTCGCGCTCAGACAGCTTCGGTCGCATTTCTTCGAGCTGACTTCTGACGAATTCTAGTTCGCTGTGTTTGCTCTCGAGGTTTCTCTCGAGTGCTTTGAGCTCGTCCCGAGCGTAGGCAAGACGTTGCTCCAGGCCAACCAAGTCACCTTGTAGCGTCTCCTCTTCGGTGCCGCGGCGATGGCCCTTGGGTAGGTTGGCAAGATCGGCCAACAGCTTGTCTTTGAGCTTGTACAGATTCTCCACCTCAGAGTCCTCCCAGCGCTTGGAGTGCTGCTGAGGCCCTTTACCACCGGTCATCAAACCGCCCTTGTGAATTACAGTGCCATCGAGCGTGACGGCCTTGGCATCCACGTTTCTCTCATAGCAAAGATATTTGGCGGTCGCTAGATCATCGCACACGATTGCATTCCCGCATGCGTAGCTAATAGCTCTGGCAACCGAGTCATCATAGTCGACGGTCTCGATAGCCGGACGCATTCCGCGGTGGAGGCCCTTTAGGTTCGAGTTAAAGGCCTTGACCTGGATCGTCTCGAGTGGGATAAAGGTAGCCTGGCCGGCTCTTTGGTCGCGGAGGTGCTGAATACACTCCTTAGCTGTCTTCTCATTGTCAACAACAATCGCGTCAAAGTGCCGACCCAGGACAGTGCTAACTGCCTCGGAGTACTTCTTCTGCTTGGGCTTGCAAAGGTCACTGACGCGGCCCTTGACTCCCGGAAAAATGCGCTTGAGGGTCGAAATCAGTTCCTTGGCTCTGATCTCTCTCTCAGACTGCTTCCTCCCATCATCTGCGTCCAGCAGTTTCTTCAGGACGACCTGCAACTTTTCTTCCAATTCCGTTCGCATCCGTGATACACGCAGGCGCTCAGAAGACACAGCATTGAGTTCCTTCTTCTTGCGGTCAATCTCCTTGGAAGTTGTCTTGACTGTGTCGTTGAGGGCAGTTTTGCGTTGGGCCAAGGTCTGCGTCTCAGATTCCAAGGTCTTGAATTGCCAATCGGCCCCTTCGAATTTGCTCTTGAGGCTGTTCAGGGCTTCGGCTTCGGTCTTCCGCTGACGGCGCAGGTTGTCGAGGTTCAGTTGCTCAGCAGACGATCTCTTGCTGACCTCTTCCTTGAGCTTTTCGTACTCGTGCAAGTCAGCCTCACTCAGCTGGCCGCCCTGCTTGCTCATCGTCTTCTGCCATTCTGCCTCCCACTGGGCCCGCGCCTTCTCGACAACCTTGAGATCCTTCTCCAGCTGTTTCACATTCGCCGATTGAGTATCTTTTTCGCGGGTAATTTCTGCGATACGAGAAGCAAAGCGTTCGACCTTCTTCCTGGTGATATCGACCTTCTCATCAACGGGGACGAGGGCGTTGGCAGCCTCTTCAATGTCCTTCTCTTTCTTGACAATGTTCCTCTCCGCCTTGGCGACATCCCGACCGACCATGGCGTGGCTCTTCTTCGCGTCCTCGACATTCTTCTCGTACTTCTCAACACCGCGGCGGAACTCCTTCAGCTCATCCTGGTACTTCAAGATATCCGCACTGGATGCGTCGATCAGGCGCTGGAAATGGAAGAGCTTCCACAGAATGTGCGTGATGATCGCTTGATCGCGTTCCTCGGCCTTTCTGGCGTAGTTCTCTGCTTCCCGCTTCTGTTCCTGGTACTGTTTGATCTCCGAGTTGATCCCGCGGCGGCGGTTCAGCTGCACGGTCTGTGATTCCGCAGCCTCCTCAGCCTCCGCTTTCAACCGTTCATACTCAGCCTTGTACTCCAAACTGCCCGAGATCTGCTCGATCAACCGCGTCAGGTCCTTGGGGGACTGCGATGCGATCGCCTCGACGTCACCCTGGAAGACGAGGAAGTTGCGCGCTTTAATCAGGATGTTCTCGGCCTCGAGCGCCTCGTTGTACTGCTGCGCGGTGACCGCGCGGTTGTTGATGCGGTACTCGCTGACACCCCCGCTGGTGATCGACCGCCGCCATTGCTGTTCCTCGCCCGCATCGTCCTCGTACACCGCCATGACCCATGCGGTCCGGGGGTCATTCGATCCGGTCGGGTCCTGGGACTGTTCGCCGTCGATCTCGTCTTCGGGCTGTTCCTCCCCATCCGCCGCCCCGTCGATGGCATTGCCGTTCGCATCCACCTTGGATGTCCGCAGGACACGACCGCGGTAGACTAGGTCGCGGAGGTTCGTAGATCGCAGATGAGATGATTTGATACCTAGAACGAACGAGATCGCATCCATCCTGAGATTGATTGTCAGCATAAACTTTCCCTTCGCGATGCGTGTTCCGCGGAGGCATTCATTCCGAGGTGGGTGGGAAAACGCACGAGTTCGATTTGCCGGACCCGTTGGGCCCGATGATGGATGTGAAGTACGCATCGCCGAAGAGGAGGGTGTGGTGACCCTTATAGGATTTGAAGTCTGATGTGGAGGTCAGTGGGTGGTATGGGGTGTCAATCAAATGAGGTTCTGCATACTAAAAAGCTCGAGTCGGATGAGCTTCCCCATTTTGCGATAGAGGGGTCGCGCGTTGCTGCGACCGCGCGAGAGGACGGATTCAGAAATGCAAATATCGGATGCAGAGGAAATGGAGGAGCTGCGCCCACCACGGAATGGGGAGAAGGCTGGATTAGCCCGGGCTGCACGGAGCAAGTGTGGAGGGGCTCGCGCAGCATTCACTACTTTGGTTATCTCGAAGTCGCGTCACGGACGGTTGATTGATTGGGGGGGCGGAAGACGCGCTGCGGAGAGGGTCACGTGGCTGCCATATTTACTTCCACCAAGTCCATTGTATCGACTCTAGTTACTACGCCTATCCTCTACTTACTACACTTATCTCTTTTTCTTGAAGGAAGATTTTGCTTAATGCTAGTTTTGAATGCTAGTTTCTACAATATGTACATGGTAGTAGTAGGAGGCGGTGGGGCCAAGTAAGAATGCAGCAGCCCCAAAACATAAGCCCAGCGTATAGCAGTGACAAAGTAAGGAACAAAGGTTGAGTATTTGAGACATCAAGAGAAGAATATCGTACAGGTCGAGAACTCACGTCTAGCGTCTCACAGTCACCGGGTTGCCAACGGACAAGAAGTCCTGCGAGACGTACCCAGCCGCATCCATGCGGAATTCACCCTTTTGACCATCCACTTCTATGAGGATAAAATCCTCGCCGGTGAATAGCTGACGAATCGCCCGAAATGTCTTGTAAAACATCATACTCATCTTCTTCAGCGGTTGTCTGAAGAAGCTCACTTGGGCGCTCTGCTGGATCGTGCTTCTCTTACTAGCGGCATCAGGGGAAATGACCAAACGACGGGCAAAGGCAACCTGGCGAGGCAGAGCGTCGAATTCATACGGTTTGCGGAATGGAATGAAGCTGCGAACCGTGAACCGAATGTAGGCCTCCCCATTCTTGTTGACAGCTTTGACGCTCCTGATCAACTTGTTCGTTTTGGCCATGAAGACAGTGCCCATCACACTCATCATGACACAAATACTTCCGAATGTTACCTTCTGCCACATGGGGAGAGGTGCGATCGGGTCGCGGAAGGTGATATTGCTGTTATACACCGAGTACGCGAAGCAAAAAGCCGTGATTCCGTAGGCACCTAGTACGTAGCTGCGGTGCGAGGGCGCTTGGAACAGCATCAGTTCTCCCTTGGGTTCTTTTGCGACTTTGGCAGCTAATCGGCCTGAGCCCGCAGGCCGTCTGCCCGCGAATCTCAATGTATCTTCGGCCGGCTCCTGGGCTTTGGGCTGTGGTGCAGCGGGCTTCTTAGCCTTAACGGCAGCCTTTGCTCGCGGAGCACTGTACGAGAAAAATCGCCATACTGGACTTGAGGTCTGGAAATTCGAAGAGAAGGTACTCCGGGGACATTGCTGGGCGAATGCCCGGAAAGCAGAAGGTCGTGTAGCAAACATGATGGGTATAGTGTCGCGTTGGGAGCCTGGAATCAAGAGCGAAATAACAATTAGCATGCAGATCTAACTCCGGAGAGTCGAGAGAAATGCGATTGAGCTTACCTTCGACCAGCCACAGCAAGTCAGCGATTGAGCTGGTGAATGCGCAACTCCGTTTAAGCCCGTTGTTATCCGCGGCAGAAAAATGTTCCCGTCCGGGCCATCGGTGAGACTCCCAACAACCTCAACATCCCCGGACATTCACTCCTCCTTGTCGCAGCGCCATTGCCCCCGGCCCGAATGTCTTGCAGCTTCTAAATACAGATCGCGACCATCTAGACGACCTCGCCCAGCTCCTTGAACTCTATCATCATCGTGGTGGTGGGTTCCTAAGTGCGATCCTTGGTTTCCCGGGTTTCCCAGCTGCAGTGCCTCGCGACTTTCTCGAACACCACTTTATTATCTCCACCACTTGAGAATCGATTCGATTCCGACCTACCACAACAACAACAGAGATGGCCTCCAGCTTCCCTTTGCGCCGACTTCCGGCCGCTCTTGCCCGTCGCCAACCCCGGGTTATCAACACTTCGAAGCGTGAGTTTTCCGCCGACTCCGAAGGGGGGAAAAGAAAGAATATCACCATCGCCCTCTTTTCCACCAGACACAACCAGCCTTCACTTCAGCCCTCATATCCAAGCACAAGCACAACCTCCACGAGCCCTCACCTCCCTCCGCTGCACACACACAGACACATACACCTCGCTAACAAACCCATCCATCCACACTACAGGCCTGAACTCCACCGCCGCCGTGCAGTACCAGAACCCCGCCTACCCGCTCTACCCATCGGTCAGCAGCCTGCTGCACGAGAAGGGGATCCCGGAATCGGAGATCTCCAAGATCCCCGCCACGGGCCCCAAGGGCCGACTCCTGAAGGGCGACGTGCTCGCCTACCTGGGCAAGATCCCCGCCGAGTACCCGGCGACCCAAGCGGCGCGCTTCGCCAAGCTGGGCCAGCTGGACCTGAGCAACATCAAGATTGTCGCTGCTGAAGCCCCCAAGCCCGCCGAAGCCGAACCCACCCCCAAGCCTGCCGAAGCCCCCGTCTTCCGTCCACCTCCCACCACCCGCGTCGCCGTCCCCATCTCCCTGGCCGCCGTGCTGCACGCCCAGAAGCGCCTGCAGGACAAGCTGCACATCACCGTGCCGCTGTCGACCTTCCTGGAGCGCGCCACCGACCTCGCCAACGAGGACCTCCCCCGCTCCGTGCGCGAGAAGCCCACGGCGGACGAGCTCTTCGACGAGCTCGTCCTCGGCGCCGCTCCCGCCCGCACCTCCCGCGGCGAGTACTTCCCCGAGTTCAACGCCGAGGAGGACGCCGTCGTCATCCCCAAAACCAAGTCCGTCACGGAGGATATCATCGACATTCTGGCCGGCAGTGGCAAGGCCGCCGCCAAGAAGGTGGTTTCCTCGGTTTCCTCGGTCACCGGCGCAGCGCCGGCCGCGGGCGCGGCCAACGTCTTCAGCTTGACGGTCCCCGTGGGCGATGAGAAGAGAGCTCAGGTTTTCTTGGACCGCGTCAAGTCGCTGTTGACGGTTGAGCCGGGCCGGCTTGTTCTATAGATCTGTTTCTTTTTTTTTCGCCTGTTCTTTTTTTATTCATCCCCGTGCACGTCTCGTTTTGGAATGACGTTTCCTATTTTTTTTCGCCCCCATCTTGTAAGTACTGATAGCCCTAACGGGGAGGCCTTCTTTCTGCGTCTACTTTTCCGCAGCTAATGCTCGTCAAGTATAGCATACACACCCACACACACACATATACAACATTTACAACTCTCACAGGTAATGGAATGAAACCAAAGTGCATTTTGATGTGCTGGTAGTGAGCTGGAATTACCAAATATAGAAATCAAAAATATTCCTTCAAGATGCCAAATTTGACTGAGCTTATGCGCTGAGTCGCCTGTAAATCACATCTGAGGAAAGCGTGGTTGTTGTATTGTCTTACGTAACATCTTCCCCGTCAGAGAGCTGCTATTCCTAGCTCATCATGCGCGGTATGAATAAATGCTTTGTTGGGCTTGTGGCTTGATCGCCAGCTCTTCATCGGTTGCCGATAACGGGGTAAGTAGTGAGAGGGGACAGAGAGATTTAAAGTATATCATGCCATTAGGATGGAGATGAGACAGCAATGGGAGAAGTAGGGGAGAGGGGCAACGCCTCGGTCTTGGTTTCACCTGAAAAACACCATGAGCGCCGCTGCTGAGAAAGAGACTTCATATCTTTGGGTCAAACTGGAACTGCGCTTGCTGGAACTCCAAGGCCCAAGGAAGGCCGCGAGAAAGGAAAATCAAGGGAATAAAGAACAAAGGGGAAGCCGTGGTAGTAGAATGGAAAAGAAAAAAGACATGGGCCAAAGTACATGTGGTGAGAATCAGATGAGGTCCAGTCAAGCGCGCGATGTGCATGCAGAAGAGGAAAACTTGCAATCGCCCATGTAAATGCCGTGAAAATCCACAAGATGCGAGAAATGCCAATAGGAAAACCGTGAGAAAATGACCATCCCCCAGACCGTCCAAGGACATGCCCAGCATCGAATAAACGCCAATGCCCTGGAACGCCGAATCTAATGCATATCGGAAACTGCTAATAAATAGTCAAGCGTGACATAGCACAAAGGTTCAAGGGCGACTAGTAGCCGAGGCTGTCACCGAATAGTACCCCATTCAGCCAGCTTACTGCCTTCACGACCGTGCTCTCTTCCTGGTCTTTTGTTGAAGATCTTCCAGAAACGTAAAGTCTCGTCGCCAGCACCAGTGACGACTGTTTGACCATCCGGACTCATAGCCAGGTAAAGTACACGGAAAGTATGCCCAGTCAAAGATACGATTTGCTCCATGCGGGGGTATTTCCAGATCACAATCTGGTTTTGACTATACCCATGGGTGCTGATAATCTCATCCGAGTTTTTCGACCACGCCAGGTTACAGACCTGGCTTCCTGTGTCAACCTCTTTGATTAAGGATCCTGTTGACGTGTTCCAGAACTTGATTGTTCGGTCCGCCGTTCCACCACCCGAGGCTAGGAGATGGTGTTGATGAGGCGACCAAGCAATTGCTTTGACTGCGGCCGTGTGGTCGGAGAAGCGATAGAGAGGAGTTTCGTTCAACTTGTCCCAGACCAACAATTTGTTGTCGTTACCGCCAGAAGCTAATTGGCCATCTTCCGTGTTCCACCTGAGACCACACACCTCTTGCTTGTGACCGGACAAACGGCGCAAGAATTGATCTGGCGAACGAACATCTCGGTGGAAAATCAGGCGATCTCGTGACCCTGAGGTCAGAATGTGGTCGTTCCAGGCTAACGCTCCGACACGGTTAGTGTGCCCGATCATCGTTCTTAGACGGCGACATCGCTCTGCGTCCCAGATTTGCACGAGTCCTTTGCCTGTCCCAATTGAAAGGTGAGTACCCTAAATTAACCGGAATTTGAGTCAGTATCGAAGACTTCGGCTTGCTGAACATCTGACACCTACCCGTTGAATCCAGCTCACACTCGTGACAGTATCATCTTTCAGTTCACACAGTTTCGTAACCCTTCCAGTCTGCGAATTCCACATATAGACCGAATTACCTAGACCAACACCAAGGACATTACTGCTTCCCCAGTCTACCAGATTCAGATAGAAGTCATCTTGTAAATCGGGTGCGTCAAGTACTTTATACGGCACTTTGTTAACGTAGCGAGGCTGTTTGCGGGGTGTTTCTAATATCCGTTGGCTGTCGTATCGGATCGGGGAAAGGCTGTAGAGCTCTGACCGAACGTTCAGGTTCGGACCATGTTGACTTCGAGGAGTCTTAGATGGCGTCGGATGACCAGATCCAGCGCGTGAGGAGGCGTAGTTGAAAAGATTTTTATGGGGAGTGGACGGCGTTATACTGGCTGGGGGGAGGCTCGATACGACATGTGACGGAGGGGTATGAGAGCGAGTCTTGTCGTTAATTCCGTTCGCAAACCCCAGCAGCGGATCCGGCGATAATGAGTCTAGGTCTGCCTGAGGAACGGTGTTTCCGAAAAGCTCACTCCGCAAGACCCGTGAGTACATTCTGTTTGCTTCTTCGGCTGAGTGATCATTAGCCAAAGGGATCAGCGCCACACTTGTGTGCAAACTCACTCTTTTGAAAATGAAGCTCCGAATGAGGAGCGCGTTTCTTAGATTTGGAGGGAGTCGAGGGACAGCCGTCTTCATGAAGGAGGCTGTAGGTTGCTTGCAGGTCTTGCCCCTCACGGTTGGGTATGAATCTATAAGGCGGCGTAGGCACGTTAGCAAGGAGCTCAAGGGATTGCTTCACAATATGACCGAAATGGCCGAGCTGATGTAGGAAGGTGCCAGAAGTGTGGTGCTACTGACCTGTCGCCGTATACTCGTTGCCTCTTCCGACTGGGGCTTGTGCCGGGTGTTCTCTCGCGAGGGTTTCCAGCGTCCTCGTAGTCCCTTAAAGCCTTCGCGAGCGCATCGGGATCGATCGCTTCTGAGGTGTTTCGGCTCTTTTGTTGTCTCCCTTGCGATTCGGGGTAGAAGAGGGTCTTCTTTGCTGGCATACTAGGGGGGGTTCTTGAGCCAGGAGGGGATGCGATAGACAATGCGTTGGCAGCACGTTCCGGCGACTTCCCACTTCTTGCTGCGCTGCGGGTAGCAGGAGGATCAAACTTCCGGGGGTCGCCCATGGTTTCGAGGGAGGGGTGACCGATCCTCACGAGGAACAGTACAAATGGCGGTCGAAAGCGGGATCAAGTCAGGTAGGGTCAATGCGACAGATCCCCACGGTCGACGAGTCGCAAACGCAGCGAGATGCGAAGTCAAGTTAGAGGAACAGCAATTCTCGTAGGTCTATTATTATATGGGTTGTTTATTTGGTCGATCAATCGGCGCTTCAAAGGTTCGTGGGGGGGGGGGAGGTGAGGTGAGAGTTGGAAGTGTTGACGACAACAGGCGAGCCCTTGTGCTCCGCTCCGGGTTCAATGAAACCAAATAAACTTGGGAAGTAGGCGGGCAGTGAGGATAACGGCGGCAAGGGAATGAAACAGACAGAGTCTCTCACCAGACCCAAGACTGAATTGATAGAATGGCACAAATTGTGGAGGTCATTTGAGATTGACCCGACCACTTTGGGTTGGTGAGAAAGAAAGAGGGAGAAGGGTTGAGACAAGATCAATCCAAGGAAGGGTTGACTGGCTGGCTGGCTGGCTGGCTGGTTGGCAGCGGCGGCGGCGGCGATGGGCTTCCCTCCCTCTCTCTCTCTCCTCTCCCTCTCTCAGTCTCTGGGCTGTCTGTCGCTCGACCGTTCGAAGGGGATCTTTCCAGTGATCCACTGCACCCACCGCACTCAGTCACGCGTCGGGTGCGCTAAACCGGTTCTGGAACAACACAAGGAGGTTGGCCTGACGCTGCAGCTGTATTGACTTAGATGACGATGGCCTTTTCCTTGGAGAAAACAAAAGAAAAAAGAAAGAAAAAAAGTCACCAGAGAATTGAAATTCATGCGATGACTACCCTGATGAAAATAATCACTTTGCAATGATCCTGTAGTGGTCATTCATATATACAATGTCCTTTTGAGTAGGAGTGGGAGGGTTGAAAGATGGGGAAGCCCCGTCTCCGTCATGTGTTGTTGGTCGCGCGGCTGCAGATGATGATTTAATTATTATTGTTTATCGCCTGCAAGTTGGTTACCACCGACTACTATCGACTTCCGATATCCTTCCTTTCCCCCACCACAACAAGATTATCGTACAAGTTAAGTTGTAAGCATGGAGAGCAACATCCTACTTCCAGTCAGTCAGTCAACGAGTCAATGAATCAAGATCGATAGAATTATCGCTTCTTTGTTGGAAGAAAAGACGATCTGATTTCGAAGTCATTGTCTTTTGTTGTTCATTGACGCGAAGCGCCGACCTGGTGATTGGATCAGGGCGACTGTTATCGAGCGTGCCAGGGCCACGAGCACCAGCAGCGCGACCGCCTCTCATTCCACGCGCCCTGCGAAAGAACGCGCCATGGGGGAAGCTTGGGCCAGGCCCTTCCTCCAACAGGAGACTTTTCGACCACAGAATCCCGATTATTTCATCCTGCAGTTGATCCCAGTCGCAGCATGAGTCTCTAACTGGACTTGCTCTTCCGTGTCACAACCGCCGCTTTAGTGGCGTTCAATTCCCCGTTTCGATGATGCAGTCGATCTAAGATAACTAGTACGGAGTAGATGCCAGTGGTCTACTACTACTAAGATAGTGCCTGGACCAAGAATCCGAGCCAACCCACTTGATCCGGTAGATCAGGGCAGATCCCAGTGAGTCAGCGAATGCTCAGGACTCCTTTGAGTCTGACTTCTTGCTTCTCGGACCATTCAATATCTCTGATCTTTGTCTCGAATGTTTCAGTGGCTTCTTATTCCGTGGCTTTTCTCGACGAGACACTAGAATCGACCTGATGCTATTAGCCAAATAAATCGAATCACATTGATTCGACATGCTGCCATGGCTGTCCATGATAATTCTTCGCTGGTCTACTCATCGCATACTATCGAGATTACAGTTTAAAACTGCAATGGAACGGTTATTTAACTTGTCCCAATATGGAGATTTTCATTTGACGCTCTCATGAGCCTTGCGTCTGCCAATTCTGATCGGTCACAGAGCTACTTCGCGGGTAATTCATGTACGCTAGATCAGCATTCAAGCTTTGCGCATGCAATTGATGCGATGCTCAACGAGGACCGACCAGCTGCTTCCACAGTTGCATTCTGCCGCCAGCCTGTTCCTTCCCTTCCCGAACCAAAGTGCACTTCCGTAGATATTTCTCTTCAGCATACGGGCGCATTCAGACCATGCCTCAACATCACCTTGTTGAAGCCATGATCCAACAGCGATGAGTGCCAACGAGGCATTGATCAAAGTAGCGATAATATCAGGGGCACTAGTGACCATCACCGCGTTAGGCATAGGCCTCTATTTTGTTGCTGCGGCTTTCAAGACAACTGAGTATGTACTGTGCAGTCCTGCAAAGCTACCGTGCCCCAAACTAAGAGAGCTTCATCATAGTCCCCAAGTTGGTCTGCTCCCCATCCGTTGATAACAAATGATAAAGTGGGCGGGCGGTCAGCGCGTATCACGTGGAGACGCGTTCCGACACGCTTTCAGGGCTCTCGCCGCCGTGTTCCCCGGGCATCCCAGAGTAGCGTCAGCACCCACCAGTCGAGTAGTATTCACCTCAACCTTCACCGATTGGAGATGGCTGCCAATTTCTTCAGCAACAAAGCCCGGGCTGCAGCTGCAGCTTCGGGTACCTCCAAGCAAAAGCCAACGGATGGAAAGGATGAACAAGGTCGACAACAACCATGGGTTGAGAAATAGTAGGCGCTCTCCACCCAATGTGCCCTTAAATGCCTGTCACATTGACCACGAAATAGTCGCCCCAAGACTCTTGATGATGTCGCCGCACAAGATCACACCACCAAGGTTCTCCGACGCACATTGCAAGCTTCTAATGTACGACGACTTCCGAAATCTGCATCGTCGCCTAAGAGCCAGGAATACTGACGGGCGATCTCTAGCTCCCCCATATGCTTTTCTATGGCCCTCCCGGTACCGGAAAGACTTCCACAATTCTTGCTCTCGCAAAGTCGCTCTTTGGTCCTACTCTCTACCGCTCCCGCATCCTCGAATTGAACGCTTCCGATGAACGTGGTATTGGTATCGTGCGCGACAAAATCAAGAACTTTGCTCGTGCCCAACTCAGTCACTCAACAGGCATGGGTGCGGAATACCTTGCCAAATACCCGTGTCCTCCATTTAAGATCATCATTCTTGATGAAGCAGACAGTATGACCCAGGACGCGCAGTCCGCTCTTCGTCGCACCATGGAGCAGTACAGTCGGATCACCCGTTTCTGCTTAGTCTGTAACTATGTGACTCGTATCATCGAGCCGCTGGCGAGTCGATGCAGCAAGTTCAGATTCAAGGCTTTGGACAATACGGCGGCGGGAGATCGGCTGGTCCAGATCGCCAAGCTGGAAAACTTGAGATTAGAAGAGGGTGTGGTTGACAAGCTGATCAGTTGTAGTGAAGGTGATTTGCGACGTGCGATCACCTATTTGCAAAGTGCGGCCAAGCTGGTCGGGGCCGGTAGGGTCGAGAAGAAGGACGACGATGAAGATACGGAGATGGCAGATGGAAGCTCGGAATTGATCACTGTCAGGACCATCGAGGAGATCGCTGGTGTCGTCCCTGAAAGTGTTTTGGATGATCTGACCCGGGCTCTGCAGCCGATGAAGGTCGGGTCATCTTATGATGCTGTTTCCAAGGTGGTTACGGATATCATTGCAGATGGATGGAGTGCCAGTCAGCTCCTTCTACAGGTAATTCTATCTTCTATTTTTGAACGTCGCTTGTGGAGTCTCAATACTAATCTGGTGCAGCTGTATCGGCGCATGATCTACAACGATGCTATTCCCGATCTTCAGAAGAATAAGATCGTGACGGTCTTCTCGGAAATGGATCGTCGTCTGGTTGACGGGGCTGACGAGCACCTGACTATCCTTGACGTCGCACTCAAAATTTCTGGCATCTTAGGCGGCGCGTAGTCGTCGAAGACGGCCATACCACTACCTTTTATTTTTCTCTAAGCTCTGAGCGACGTCATTCGATTGGCAGGCCTCGCCGATAGTAGTGTCAGGAGGCTAATTGACGCGACTCATCATCATCTGAAGGATACAGAAGTTTACAGAATGCTTTCCTCACCAAAGCCACCAGACTCTGTCATCTTCTTTCATGCATCGCTTCCTGTAGCACGGAAATATACAGTGGAGCCGGGAGTCATGGGAAACAATCGGACGCGCGCGCAAAATCCAAATCTGCAACTTGGAGTGAAGCCAAGACTTACGACTGTATGAAATATAACGAACAAGTCCAAACATGCTTCTCTCTAACTCAATCTCAATGGGGACCCATGTAGGTGTAGCAACGTCATACACGGAGGGCATGCATGCATCCTTCCTTCATCGCCGGTTCCTCACGTGCGGCCCGCTTCGTGGCTCACCGACGAGCCGGACGAGAGCCGGACGAGAGCCGGAATAGAGTGTGCCGCATCAAGACTTCTTATGACTCAAATAATCTTTAGATTTTCGTTTTCTCCTTGCTCCGGTACATACATTTGAGGCAGCAGCATATCGCGACATTGCAATAGACCCTTAGAGCACTGCATATAGACCGCCGTCCACCCTCATGGCTTCCTCCGAGTACCCCGCATCCACCCACACCCCCCGCTATTTGACTGGCGACGCGGCTGGCATCCGTGAGTTCATAGACAAGTTTGATGTGAGTGTCTTCAGTGGGACAGGTTGTGTTGGACTTGACAGAGGCTAATTTACCATCCAGGTGTTTTTGTTTGACTGCGATGGTACGTCCTCGCCACGAGTCCGATGGAACATAAGAGCTTCCGCGGTTCTGCACCAACAGCACCTACAGCAAAGGCCTGACTGACCCTCGATCTACAACTTAGGGGTTCTCTGGTCCGGGGACCACCTTTTCCCCGGCACGAACGAGACATTAGAACTGTTGAGAAGCAAAGGTATGATATTTTCAGGGGGCATGCGCCGCTCGCAGACAAGCTAATCCCCCCCTCCCGTGTGCCAGGCAAACAAGTGGTCTTCGTGACGAACAACAGCACCAAGTCGCGCGCCGACTACGTGAAGAAGCTCGAGGGGCTGGGTATTCCCAGCACAACGGTACGTTTTCCAACCCCGTCCCCAGCCAGCCAGCCAGCCAGCCAGCCATATCCCCTCAACCCCCAAACCCTCTACATCCCAAACCCCACCACTAACCCGTCCCCCCCTTCACGACACAGGAAGAAATCTTCTCCTCCTCCTACAGCGCCTCAATCTACATCTCACGCATCCTCTCCCTCCCGCCCAACAAACGCAAAGTCTTCGTCATCGGCGAAACCGGCATCGAGCAAGAACTCCGCGCCGAGAACGTCCCCTTCCTCGGCGGCACCGACCCGACCTACCGCCGCGAGATCACACCGGAGGATTACAAGAAAATCGCCGCCGGCGACCCCAGCCTCCTCGACCCGGAGGTTGGGGTGGTGCTGGTCGGCCTCGACTTCCATGTGAACTACCTCAAGCTGGCGCTGGCGTTCCACTACATCCGTCGGGGCGCGGTGTTCCTGGCTACGAATATCGATTCGACGCTGCCGAATGCGGGGACGTTGTTCCCCGGCGCGGGGTCGATGAGTGCGCCGTTGATCATGATGTTGGGGGGCCAGGAGCCCGTGTCGTTGGGGAAGCCGAACCAGGCGATGATGGATGCGATCGAGGGGAAGTTTCGGTTCGACCGGGAGAGGGCGTGTATGGTGGGGGATCGCGCGAATACGGATATCCGGTTTGGGGTTGAGGGGAAGTTGGGGGGCACGCTGGCGGTTTTGACGGGGGTGAGTAGTGAGGAGGACTTTTTGCGGGGGGAGGTCAGGCCGGCGGCTTATTTGGACCGGTTGGCGGATTTGCTGGGGTGTGAGTGATTCAATTCAGGGGTTGTTCTTGGGTGGGATGGGAATGGGGAATATTTTGAATTGAGAGGGTCTAAGGCTTGGGGGGATGGAACGGAACCTAATGAAACCCGGGGTATTTACTATTTTGGACAACCGGGAGGGGGGTGGGGGTGTTGTGATAGGTTTTGGCTCCTCTCTTCCCGTCTTGTGTACGGGTTTAGGTTGCATAGATTATAGAATACAGGGGATATTCCCCCACCAGCCTTCGTGAATCTCCACTATATACGTATGGTGTTGCAGGGTGCGTAGGGTTGCGGCGGATGTAAAGCATGATTTATCAGGATTCAGGCTCCAGGTCCTGGTGCGGATCAAGATGCGGATCAAGATGCGGATCATCTCTCAACAGCCCCGCCAGCTTCCACAAGCCCAGCATCGCATTGACCGTGGGCTTGTCGTCCGGTCGAAAGAACACCGCCGCCTGGCCCTGGAATTTGCCACACGCGAGAAGATCCTCCTCGGCCAGCAACCGCGTCATATCGAACACGGGCACCTTGGAGTTCGTCTGGGGCAGATGGAAGAAGCCCGACAGGGGCAGCTGAGGCGAGTCGGTGCGCCGCAGCACCAGCACCGCACCCGTCTCCATGCGCGCGATGGGCTCCATCTTCGCCAGCGCCTCGACCAGCGCCTCCTCGGCGATGCGCGCGGCCCCATCTTCCTCGTGGTCCTCCTCCAACGGCAGCACCGAGGTCCAGACCTGCCGCTTGGGCGAGTCGTTCGACTGCGTCGCGGCCCTGCGCAGCCGCTGGCCCACCTCGCGCCGCATCATCCGCGTCACGAACTGCGGCATGTCCTGGCGCCAGACGCACGACGCCATCATCGAGTCCGTCATCGGCCCCAGCGGCGGCCGCCAGCGAATCGGGAACGCGAGCGCGATGGCCGGGATCCTCCTGTTGGACCTTCGCGAAGTCTCCGTCACCGTGTTCAGGAGCGTGAGTCGGTTGACCATCCGGAACCGCAGGTGACGGATCGCTTGGGAGGTCTGCTGCGTCTTCTTCGGTTGATCTGTCCAAGAAGATGATGATGACGACGACGACGGCGATGGAGCGGGTGCGGGCACGGTCACCGGTGGTAGGATCTCGGATGGATGGATGAAGAGACTCTTGCCCTCGGGGTGTTCCTCGAGACCCCAGCCGGTCATGAACTCCGTCGGCATGCGGAGCCCCGTCAGCGAGCATTGGCGGATCGGCGTGGCCAGCGCCACGGCCCAGGGGTTCGTGGAGAGATCATCTTTGGGGTGCGATGGTTTGCCGCGGGCTTTCTTCTTGTGCAGGCGCTCGTAGCCGGGTTTCGGGTCGGTGAGTAACGGGGATTTGGGGAGGAGGGAGGACGGCCGGGGGGACTTTTGGGCTCGAGGTTCTCGGGGCGGTTTGGCAGGTGTTTCTTTGGTAGCGGTATCTGCTGAGTGCGGAGGTGGGGGTTCGGGCTCGTCGGTCGAGGTGGATAAAGTGCGTGTGCGGTGGTTGTGGTGCTGAGAGGGAACTGGGCCATGAATGGTGGCGGTGGTGGTGCTATTGTTGACTAATTGACGAAATTGCCTCAAGCGCCATGACGCATAGGATATTCGACCGTAGACACACTCCATTGTCTCTTTTACTCGAGGTGGTGGATGGCGCGGCGAGCAGCTGGAACGGGAGCGGTTGTCGGTGGAGAAAGAAGGAGGAGTAGAAAAACCCGCGGAGGTTTGGACGTTGACCGACGCCCGGCGCGCAAAGGCGGAGGAGTCCTGCTGCTGCTGCTGCTGCTGCTGCTGCGACAGTCCTACACCACTCCTCCGACCATCACCCCTCCGACCATCGCCTCCATCTTGCCATTACCTGCCTACCCGCTCTGGATTTGCAAGCAACGCCTTCACAATGAATCCAGCTCGTCCCCTGCAGCGAGCGAGTCGCATATTGAGCCGCCCGTCGGCCATCCCGGCCCTGTCGCGGAGCTTCACCAGCTCCATCCCGTCGCGATCACCACTACCAGCTTCATCGACGGCCCGACCTGCGCGAGGATGGACGCCCACGCCGTTCGTCACAGAGACGGTGGTAAGTTTGAGTGTCCCATCAATCCGTCAACCACAAAAAAAAACAAGGCTCACTAACAAACCATCAGGGCGGAGGCTGGCACACATGTACGTTATACTCAATCCATCCATCAGCTCTCACTCAAATCAAGCCCACACCACCACCACCACCACCACCACCACCACCCCAAACCAACCCAACTAATCCCCGCCCAACGCAGACGACATCTTCTCGCGCCTCCTCAAAGAGCGCATCATCTGCCTGAACGGCGAAGTCGACGAAACCATGTCCGCCTCCATCGTCGCCCAACTTCTGTTTCTGGAAGCCGATAACCCCCAAAAGCCCATCCACCTGTACATCAACTCCCCCGGGGGGTCGGTCACGGCCGGTATGTGTCTACCTAACCCCCAATGACAATGCCTAACCAAACCCCCACACTAATCATCCGAGACAAAAAGGCCTGGCGATCTACGACACAATGACCTACATCGCCAGCCCGGTCTCCACGATCTGCGTGGGCCAAGCGGCGTCCATGGGCTCGCTGCTCCTGTGCGGCGGCCACCCGGGCAAACGGTACTGCCTGCCGCACTCGTCGATCATGATCCACCAACCGTCCGGCGGGTACTTCGGGCAGGCCAGCGACATCGCGATCCACGCCAAGGAGATCCTGCGCGTGCGCAGCCAGCTCAACAAGATCTACCAGCGGCATCTGACGGGCAAGAAGGTGCTGTCGCTGGATGAGATTGAGAAGCTGATGGAGCGGGATTACTTCATGGGGGCGAAGGAGGCGCTGGAGATGGGGATTGTGGATGAGATTTTGGATCGGAGGCCCGGTGGTGGGCCCAAGGAAAGTGGTGGTGGAGGAGGAGGAGAGGCGAAGGGGGATGGGAACGGGAATGGTGGGGAGGAGTAGGTACTAGGTGATTAGGCCGGGTTAGGGTTTGGGTTGGTTATAGCTGGTTTTCTTCCTGATGAGTGGAAGGAGAAGCGGGAGGGGGGTTGAGGTTGATGTTTATACATACCCTGGGTTAATTGTCTTTTTCTACTTTGTGTTTTTGTGGTTGTACCTTCTATGTGATGCTGACGATCATATACTGATGATGACGAAGAGCTGGGAGATAGAAACTCCACCACATTCCACTCCACTCCGCCCAGCCTTTCCTGCTTGACTGCCGTGTCAGATATTAGACAATAACTTACTCATGATGCACTACCCCTTACACTTCATCCACGTTCTCACATGATTAACAAATAGAGTCAGTATATTATGACCTATTCTATGCCTATGCAGTACAGCAGAATCCCCGCATCTACACCAGCCAAAGCAACCCTCTCTTCTAAGCACTGACAATGCCGTTGGCATCGGGAGCGGGATTGGGGTTATTGGCAGTAGCCGTGGCAGTGGCAGTGGCAGGAGTCTGCGCGTTCCGCTCCGTCGACCGCCCATTCATTGCATCCCGGAACCCAGCCATGAACGCCGCCGCCTGCTGCGGATTCGCGAACCGCAACGAACTCCGCCCCGTCGTCGCCGGAGTGTACCGCCACTGCTCGCGGACCACATCCACCAGCCCCACGTCCATGATCACCGCCTGGCCCGAGGCGAACCGATCCAAGGGGTGACCATCCTTCGCCGCGGCCGTGCTGCGTCCCAGGTCCAGGCCCGTCTCGGCCGGGTCGGCCAGCAACTCGGTCCGTTCGTCGATCATAGTGTTATGGTCATGGTCATGATCCTCAGCTCGGTCCTGCCTCGAAGGCTGTCGACTGACCGGGACCTGAGTCGTCCGGTCATCTGTAGTAATAGTACCTGTGGCCGCACCCCGAAGAACACCCCGCTCTTCGGAATCGTGATCCTGGCCCATCCCGTTGATGATAGCACTCAGGATATTACTTCTTGAGCCTTGCCCGGTCGCCGTACCGATCAATCCCTGCTGCTGCTGCTGCGCCTCCACGGACTTGACCCTCTCCACCACCAGCCCCAACATCACCAAATCCAGGAGTAGAACCAGCACATCCATCGACAGCAGCCGGGCCAGCGGGACGGGCGCCTTCTGGCCGATGAAGTCGATGAACAAGCCCCCGTGGATATACCCGCGGGTTTCCTCGCCGGCTTCCGGCGCGGCGAAGAGCGTATGGCAGAGCATGCAGAACAGATTACTCAGGAAGATGGCGCCGACGAAGGGCTGGTTCCGGGTCGGATCGAAGGGCGGGGCTTTCGGGGTGAAGAAGATGAGCTGCACGATGGCGCGGAGGGCGAAGAGGATGATGGAGCAACTGCCAACCCACAAAATTATATTTTGTTAACAAATGAATACTGGGGCGGGGTGTTTGTTGGGTTGGGGTCGGATGTAATCATATGTTGGATCTACAAAATGACGACGGCAAAAAGAGATATGGGGCCAAATTGCTCACTCCATATAATACAGCGCTGACAGCTCGCAGTAGATGAGGATATCGAGATCGCGGAGCAGCCGATCGATGAAGGCTACCTTGGCGGTGGATTGGATCTTTTTCATGCGCTCATCGTGTCTGCCGTTGCTGCCGGTGGTGCTGCCGGTGGTGCTGCCGCTGCTGGACGGAGGTCCGGCGACGAGGCCGGGCGATAAGCCGGACACGTCAGCGAAGTATTCCGCATCTCGATACACATCTGGAGTGGTCATAGAGGGTCATGAGGACATGGATGATGAGATCGGAGAGTTAAGAAGGTGGGAGGGTGTTTTAAGGGTGGAAGGATGAAGGTAAGGGAAGTGAGGTTCACGCTGACGGTTAATCAGTTAGTTAATCAGGAGAAGTGGAGTGGAGGGCGGAAAGCGGAGGCGGAGAAGGACCAGGCAGCGGCGTCAGGCGATGGCGGGTCTTCCTCGGTCCGACGGAGCTGAGGCTACTGCGTAACTACAGTAAGTTACTCAAAATACAACAACATTTAGCGCTGAGCCGCACTACAACACTAGCTGACTCGGGAATGTTAGTGAGGTATCTCTTATAAAAAGGCTATACTATCGACTGTTATCTACTCTAATCCACGAAAATCGTCTTGGAGAGGTCGGCGTAGTGCTTGAAGAAGCTTGTGAACAGCCGGATGGAATGGCCGACATCATATGTACCTCCAGTCTCGCGGATACTGTGCATGCTGAGCTGAGGGTTGCCCAGATCCAGAGTACGGGCTCCCAGCTTGGCTGACATCATGGGGCCAATGGTACTGCCGCAGCTGGAGTCGTTGCGAACAACGAACAGCTGGAGAGGCACGCCCTCACCACCGTCCTCGGCGGCCTTGCGGGCAACCTCCTGCAGAAGAACAATTCCAGGAGAGTTGGTCGCGTAGCGCGCATTGGCGTTGATCTTGATCACAGGTCCCTTGTTGATCTGCGGCCGGTGGTCGTTCTCGTACTTGGGGGAGTAGTTCGGGTGAACACCGTGCGCCATGTCGGCAGAAAGAAGGAATGAGGTGGACAGAGTCTGCTCATAGGCAGTGGAAACCTCAGCATCTCCGCCGGCCGTCGACGGCAGCACCGAGAGACGACGGATCACGGCAGGAAGCATGTTCGAGTCGGCGCCCTGAGCGGTACGGCTGCCAATCTCTTCGTGGTCGAACAGAGCAATGAGACGGATGGACGACTCATTGTCTAAGGCCGAAGCATCGGCAACCGAGTCAATCAGGCCGACGGTAGCACAGAAAGAGCTATTCAGGTTGTCCAAACGGGGAGAAAAGATGAACTCATCCAACAAACCACCCAGGTTGGACTTTTGCGTATCGAACAGAATCATCTCGAAGTCGAGGATATCGGCAGGCTTGGCACCGGCCTCAGCAGCGATGAGCTCGACCAGGTAAGGGTGGTGGCGCTCAGTGATCGCCTTCAGAGGGGAGAACTCTCCGTCATCCTCTGCAGCGTTGTTCTGAGCCTTGGTGGTCTCACCGGCACCGGTGCGGTTGAGCTCGGCCTCCACGAGGCCGGCGATGGGGAAGAGCTGGGTCTCCTTGTTGAAGGAGAAAGTTTCCTGGCGGTCAAGGTGGATAGCCAGGGTAGGGATACGCAGAACTATAAAGCTCGTTAGTCATACACCCTGAAAACCTCAGAGACAGTTCATACTAGGCCGGTCAATCTTGATCAGCTTCTGCACAATAGAGCCGTCGCCGTTGCGCACCATAGCCCGGCCTGCAACTCCGAGATCACGGTCGAACCCTTTGAGCAGTTAGCACCGAGTACATGGTAAGAACGAGGTAAGCGCACATGTGTGCCAGATGCCTCCTCCGTAGGTCTCGACACCCACTTGGACATAGCCCTCCCCACGCTTGTTGCTGACAGGCTTGACCCGCAGCACGGGGGAGTCGGTGTGAGCACCAATCATGGAAATAGGATTGCCAGGCTGTTTAGGATCAGCGTCAATTGACCCAGTGAGGTAAGATCGTTGACTAGGCACATACCTGCCACTTCTTGCCGATAGCAAAGGCAACGATGGTGGATTGGTTGCGAGTGACATAGTATTTTCCGCCGGGACGGCAGGTGGATGCCCAAGGATCCTTCTCCTGCAGTGGTATTAGTAGCCCATCTCAAACTCTATGGAATAATCGTCTGTACCTTGATCTCTTGGAAGCCGGCCTTCGCGAGCAGGTCCTTTGCAGATTGGACTGCATGGAAGGCTATATGGAACGGTCAGGCACAGATAAGGCAGTATGATCGGGGCGGAGTTTACGGGTGGGAGAGGCATTGACAAAGGACAAAAAGTCCAGAGCCGGCTGCTTCAGGTTCTGAGCGAGCTTGGAAGTCATTTTGGAGGACCTTGGGATCTGACCGAGAAACCGTGGGGTGGTGCGGAGGAGAAAAGAATGGGCCAAAGTACGGATAAGTTCATAGTCGCCATCACTGAAATCATGCCAAGGCGGTCAGTTAGTTCATTTGACAGCTTTTGAAGCGGGGAAAGGTCCATCCATAGTCCATAAACAATCGCTGTGCTTCTAGGGCTGCCGAAGGGCCTACTTAATCGGCCATACGTTTATTTATTTAAAAATACAACTAAGAAACAGGCACCTCATGAAGACATCGAATCCGCTATAGATTTATGCTTCTATAGTTCATCCCTATGGTGGGGAACCTCGGTAGCTTCAAACATCCTCTTCTTAGGATTCCTTGGCAGCTCCGCTTGTCTCTGCCTTTCCTCCGGCGAGATGTCGTCTATGTTGGTCTCCTCCTGTTTTTCAATCTCCTCTACCAACTCGCCGATTTGGTCAATCAAGCGGTCCTCCTCCGCTTCATCCGTAACAGGGACCTGGTCCCATACTGCCTCTTGCTCCGCACTCTGGACTGTCGGTTCCACCTTCGGAGCCACAACCGGGGTCTCTTGCACCAACTGAGCGACAGGAGTAACAGAGTCAGAGGCCTGCACTGCCCGACTGGTGATGCCCACCACACCTAGAATCGCAAAAGTAGATCGTGCCAGTAGTCGCACCGGCAGCCACACAAGCCACCACAGAGGACCGTAAAGTATGCGCCGGAAGACAAGCCAAGCGATGGTTCCAAGAAGAATGTAAAACGCCGTCTCCAAGTACCAAGTGTCGGATTTCTGCGACCGAAGAAGAGAACCGACGAGGTTGCGCGATGAGGCGAGGAGCGAGTCCAGGTCTGTGTAAGATTCTGACAGCGACGAGAGGGCAGCGGTGGATTGCTCTGAGAAGGATTGGCGACAAATGGTTAGCTCAGAGGCGTGCAGGACAGCAGCAACAGCAACAGGAACAGCAACGAACCTAACGTCTCCTGCGCAAACTGGCTCCGCGACAACTCGGACTGCATCAACTGATGCGTCCGCCGCAGCGCCGCCGTAACATCGTTCGAAGCGTTCTTCACGATCTCATCCTGCGTCAGCTTCTCGGCGGGCTGGTTCTTCCTCTCGGCGCTCTGGGACCGGGAGAACAACAACTCCCGCTCCTTGCGGCGTGCGGTCTCGGTATTGCGTTTCGCTTGTAGCTGTGCGTTCCGGAAGTCTCTTCTGGTCCTGCGTCCGGTGTAAACATCCATCTGTATCCCGAGATCTAGCCAGACTCAATAGATCTAGACTCTTTCCCATGAAGAAACACACATACCTCTTCAGTTCTTCAGTTAAGCGCCCCGCCAACGCGACCACGCGCTCCCTCTCCGATTCCTTCTCGTTATCCAACAGCGCTTTTCGTCGACTCTCGGGACCTGCCTCGAGACCCTCCACCTCCACCCGCAACAACTCCAATTGATCCTCCGCCCCTTTCAGAAGCGTATGGATCTCCGTCCCCAGCTCCAAGCGCGCCTCATCCCCCTGTCCAATAGCGGTGGTGAAGTTCTGCAGTCGAGAAACCAGCGGGTGGATATTGGCCAGGGCGGTCGAGAGCTCCTTCAGCCGGGACTGGAGTTCCGTCAACGATGACATTGTTATTTGTCGGTGATAAGAAGACAATCACACTCGAGTCGCATTAACACGATTTCGCAGATAGGCTCTACGCCCAATAGAGCAGAAACGCTGTGTATGTGACGAGAGAATGAAGAAAGTCTGATGAGGGGGTAAAATTGTCGATGTGTCCGTTCCGCAACAGCAACAGCGTCATCATCGGCTGGCTTCCCGTATCTGTAGAATTCCATTCATTCCTGAGGCATCCCGACTGATCAGCTCACTGTTTGCATCTAAGACAAACACACACCGAGAGACAGCGACCCCGATCCTCCGCCGGAATTATCCAAGCCCTGCCTGGCTGGCCTTGATGTAGATACAGCAAAAAAACGGTTAACTAGAGTGTGTTGAATTCCTGCTTTGATAGCTGCTGTGCGCGCGCAACCTCCCCCGCTATCTCTCTCACCTGCTCAACCCATAATCCCTGTCATCAATCGCAAGCACACCTCCGAGAAAAAAAAAAGTGTCACCGTAAGTCCATCACGGTCCCCCTCCCCCAACTATCCAAACATCCTAAACTAACCCGATGCCCAAACGCAGCCCACCTCTAAGCAAAAATGTCCATCCCAATCGCCACCATCTCCTCCTTCCGCACGACCTTCAACCCCTGGGCCCGCAGCGCCCGCCCCTGCCGCCTGCTGCTCTCGCTGCTCCGCAACCCCTCGACCGTCCCGGCCTCGAGCGGCACGCACATCGACATCAAGGTGACGCAGCTGCCGCGGCACTCGACCAAGCCGGCCGAGCTGGTGGTCGGGTTCAAGAACGGGAAGGAGGTGAACATCCCCATCGCGGAGCGGGAGATGCGGATCGGGGATGTCATCGAGGAGATTGCCCGCGTCGGGCGGGTGATTGAGCGTGAGGAGACGTTGAAGGGTTGAGTCTGTTTCTGGCTGTCTGGATTGGAGGGTTGGCTCGGTTGGAGGGGGAAGAGAGCAAGCAGGGAAGGTTATTGCGCCGGATATCTTACGGCCGTGACGATGTCGGGCTCAATCTTGGTGGCTTCTGTGCATCGTCTGTCCGTGACTCTTTGAGATTTATGGACGCGCGCAATGTTATCTGCGGCATAAGTGGAAGTCATCGGGACTTGTCTTCGCGACCTGTATTATCTATCATGTTATTCACGGACATGTGTATATACCAGCTATTGATTATTATTGTTCTGTTTTTTTTTATGCTTTTTTATAGACCAACCATCTACAATGTCCCACTGATATCTTTAATGGCTGTTGCTACGATTCAAAGCTTTTGTAAGAGAAGTTTGAAGTATGTAAATCACCCGTAGGTGGGGGAATAGGTTTCGATTTTAGGATTTGTACAGGTTTAAACAGCGGCACCGGAGATGAAGAACCACTTATCAACGCTGCCGTCAATGGGGGCAGGAGGAAGGTTCTCGCCCTTGGGGATGCTGGCGAGCTTGGAAGCGTCGGCGCGCTCAACACCCTCGTAGGTGCTGGTGGCACTGGAAGCGGGTCAGTCAAAACTTCTTTGTAGATGGGTTCAGGGATAACGTACATGCTGACATCACCCTTGGGGGCCTGGCCGGAGATCAGCTTCTCCCAAGCATCACGGCACTCGCGGATGACCTCCAGAGCGTACCTGCAATAAATTAGTACAACAATTACATGCATCAACCATCGATCGGGTACGTACTTCTGGTTCTTGCACTCGCCGGAGAAAGCGAACTGGTTCTCGGGCTTTCCGTCGGGGATCTTGTAGATACGGAACCACTCGTTGGTGGCACGGAGAAGACCGGGGAGGTGACGCTCGACGTCCTCAACGTCGTTCAGCTTAGGAGCAAGGGGGTCGTTGATGTCGATGACGATGACCTTCCAGTCGGTCTCCTCCTCGTCGAGCAGGGCCATGACACCGAGGACCTTGACCTGCTTGACCTGGCCGGGGTAGCCGACAAGCTCACCGATCTCGCAAACGTCGAGCGGGTCGTTGTCACCCTTGGCCTTGGTCTCGGGGTGGACGTTGTTGGGGTCTTCCCAGGTCTACACCAGTTGTGAGATGATGGGAGGGCCAGTGAGGGGCAACAGCGGGAAAAATACATACCTGGGGGAAGGCACCGTAGTTCCAGAGGTAACCCTTGTGGGGGAAGCAGTTACGGACGTAACGGAGCTTGCCCTTCTTCACATCCTGCTTGATGGGGTTGAGGAACTCCTCCTTGGAGATCTGGGATGGCAACAGGGGTCAGTTGGGATGGTCGAGGGTGGACGTGGCGGGCGGGGTATGTATTGGGCTTGGGTACCTCCTGCTTGGCGTTGGTCCAGCGGGGGATCTCAACAACCATGTTGAAGATGTTGTTGGCCTCATCGGCGTAAAGGGGGATGTCGTGGAAGGGAGAGACGGGCTTGCCATCCTTCTCGATGTAGACACGGTGCTCCAGGGTGTTGGCCTGGCCGATCTTACGGACGGTGTAAGACATGGTGGGCGATTGTGTAGTAGCGGAGACAGAAGAAAGATGTCTAGCTAGAAGAGCAGTACGGTTTGAAGCGGACAAAACCGATGGACGAAGAGGGGAAGAAGAGGAGGAGAGAGAAGAAGAGGAGGAGGAGGAGGAGGAGGAGGTAGCGGGAGGAGGAGGGGGGGGGGAGGGGGCTTGTTTGGTGGGGGGAGCCAGCGTTGCGGATGTGCGACAAACGGACGAACAGTAAGACTCAGAAACAGGAGTGCGGCGGGCGACTATCGGACTCCAGGCGGTGGGCAACCGGAGTGCTGGTGCTGACACTGGTCCACGACTAACCCCCAGGAACATTGAAATACGACAGGATTGGGTCAATTTGTAAGGTATACAGTATTTGGTTTTAACCCAGGGGGTGTCAATTGTTATAAGGTAACTAAAGGTATGTTCAAGGAGGATGAAGGGATCGGGAAAGAAAATCGGACGGGAGCAGGAAAAAAAAAAGACGCCAACCAAAACAACCTCGGACACTTTCCTCCTTCTATCTCGGCAGCTGCTGCGGTCACGGCAGCTATGCTCTATGCACCTCGAGGTGTCCTGTCAGGCTGTCTCCCAGTACGTTATTCTGACCACCTGCATTTGAGGTTGGTATTACTGGTATGCATGAGTTTACCTAGGCTAGTGGCAACACCCTGCAGATGACACCATTTTCCCTCTGCCTCTTGTTCCTCTTTTCGGTGAGGACGAATACCCTGGCTGGCCTTGGATTGCACCCACTCCACCAGTACCGTTCCACTTATGGAGTCAATCCTATTGTCCTTGGGTGGCTTCCTCCTTATTTTCAGTCTATGAATATCCTTACACCTGTACCATTGAGACTTTTTGGCCCCTTTACATTGTATCAAGTCCTTGTACGTTGTTCAATTGATATAGTATCTTCCACATGTGCGCCATTGCCTCTTCAATCGCTCAATTGCTCATCCCCTGCGATGTCAGCAGGTCTTGGCAGGTACTCCTCCGGGACGGACTAACCTGCAGTCCGAATTTGAAAGTTAGTTGGATTCCCGCTGGATGAGTAAGCTGTAAGGCAAGAAAAACCTTATCGTATATCACCACGTGATCTGGCACTTTTTCGTTCCCCGCCTCCATCTCGATCTAGAAACTCGAATAAACTTCAACTTCTTGACAATCCATAATCTTCGGTCTTGCTCGCGAATCAAAGCTGAACTCAGCTCTATTGCTTGCACTTACTCAACTAAGGCATAGAAAAGCTCTAATCCGCCAAGAAATGCTATGCTAAGCTTTCTACGACCCCTCCGCTCCGCAATGACCTCGATTCCTCGTGTCCCCATCCCCGCCAACGGGGTCGACTACCGCGGCAAAGTCGTCCTGGCTCCGATGGTGCGCTCCGGTGAGCTTCCCTGCCGCCTTCTCGCCCTCAAGTATGGCGCCGACCTCGTCTGGGGCCCCGAGACCATCGATCGTGCCCTGGCAGGCGCCGTCCGCCGCGTGAATCCCCGCAACGGCACCATCGAATTCACTCGCACCCCCTCCAATGGCGGCCGCACCGAGAAGGCCACCCAGGAGTCCGTCATCTACCGCCTCGATCCCGTCCGCGAGAAAGGCAAGCTCATCTTCCAGATCGGCACCGCCACGCCCGAGATCGCCGTTGCAGCCGCCAAGCTCGTGGCCGGCGACGTCGCGGGCATCGACGTGAACTCGGGATGCCCGAAGCCCTTCAGCACCAGCGGCGGGATGGGCGCCGCGCTGCTTAGAACCCCGGACAAACTCGTCGCGATCCTCGAGACGCTGGTGCGCGAGGTCGGCAACCCATACCAGATCGGCATCTCGGTCAAGATCCGGCTGCTAGACCGGGAGGACCCCGAGCCGACGCGCGCGCTGGTCTCACGACTCGTCAGGACCGGCATCACGGGGCTGACCATCCACTGCCGCACGCCGCCCATGCGGCCCCGCGAGCGCGCCATCCGCGACCAGTTGTGCATGATCCGGGACATCTGCCACGAGGCCGGGGTGGCGTGCGTCGTCAACGGCGACGTCGCCAACAAGGACGACGGCCTGGCCCTGATGCAGGAATACGGGGTCGACGGCGCGATGATCGCCACCGCCGCCGAGGCGAACATGTCCGCGTTCCGCACGGAGGCCGAGGGCGGCCTCCTGCCCTGGAAGGAGATGGTCCACGACTACATGCAGTTCTGCCTCGAGTCCGAGAACCGCTTTGGCAACACCAAGTACCTGCTGAACATCTTCGTGCCGGGCAAGTCCCCCGAAGCCCACCGCTTCAAATCCGCCCGCACCTACGTCGACACCTGCCATGCCTTGGGCTTCGAGGACCTGATCCCCGCGGCAACCCGCGTCGACGAGATCCTGGGACTCGCTGACAAGACCACGAACAAGAACAACGACACTAGCGACGCCGTCAGCAAAGCCGTGCAGAATGCTCTCGAGAAGAATGAAACCGCCCGCGCGGCCGGCAACGGCGGCGCCTCGCGCTCGAAACCCACTTCCCCCGTCCTCTCCCACGCCGGCGGCCCGATTCGCACCAACTCGATCCCTCCCCCTACCAAATCCGTCACCAACATGACGGACGTCGATCCTGCGGCTGCTGCTGGAGCCGTCACTGCTCCGAAACAGGAACTTGCCGCATAAACCCTGCCCGCACAGGGTTCGATAGCATGGCTGACCCCTTATCTACCTATTATTACCTCATGTATTCACGCTTTTGTTTTCTGTATGAACTCATTTCCTGCGAACGCATTACCCGGTGTTGAAGATTGCTCTCGGTTGGTTTTTTTTTTTTCCTGTTGTTTTGTGCTTAGAAATTCTAGATTCCCACCTTCTTATGTTCTTTAATTCAAAAGGCACATACCATCCATCTCCTATACTTCTTTCTCCCTTTGTAAAGGAACCAGAACAACTCGATAGACCCTCGGCCACGAAGTAGCGTAATATCGACGGTCGCACTCACTTAAAGTCGGACGACTCTAGCCGGAGGCGATAGCCTTTCTAAACTAAAACAATACTCTAAATCCACGGGCGAGGCCTCGACCAAGAAAAATAGTAGGGCGAGGCTACGACGAGCACGAGAACGAGAACGACCCATCCCCCACCTCGCTTCGCATTTCTGCTGACTCTATTAATGAATCCAGGCAATTGGGGGGGAAGAGAGACACCGCTCCAGGCCATTGCCATTGCCATCAGCCCTGAACATCCCCAGACAGAAAACCAAAACAAGTATTTCGGATCGAGCATGCGTTCGTTAGAATCGCCCAGGCGGGTACCCATATATCAAGCGTCATTCATTTTCTGTCTAGTTCTATTTCGACTCATTTGCTTCTTTGAAATGATGTGTATTTGTATGTGTATGTTTCCTTTCAATCGTTGGAAGAGAGGGGGGGTTGGTTGAAGAAGAGAAGAGAAGAAAATGTGAAGGGGAGGCAGCAGCAGGGGTACCGCGATAGATAAAGGCTCAGAAAACGAGGAAATGGAATGGGGCGAATTGGGGGTGTAATTGCGCCGATAGTGTATCCTTTGAGTTGAAAAGCATCTCCATATGATCAAAATGCACAAGACACCGGTCAAGGGGAAAGAACAATTATCGAAGTAGATAACCACAGATGGGTTTGAGAACGGCCAAAGCAGAAAGATTCGAGGTTCGCTGATTAGATGTGTAAAGATTCCTTCTTTCATCTGCCATGCAGGGCCCAAGGAAAGGGTGGGTCCTTTCTTCTAAACAAGAACGTAACGTAGAAAAACAGAACTCGCCAAGCCGAGTCCTCCGTATTGAACAAGCGTATCGTCACAAAATGAAGGGGAAATTAAACAAAGTACAACCGGAAATGTCTATCGTCAAAATCCAAGCTCACATAAGCAACGCAACAAATCATGACTGGTGCTCCATATCCGCAAGAACCATATTCTCGACCGCCTTCATGCCCGCATCCTCCGCTTTCTTGGATTCGGCGGCGTCCTCCCCGGCCACCGCCTGGTCGAGGGCCAGCTTCGTCTGGCCGAGCGCGTAGATCTGCTCCTCGATGGTGTCCTTGGTGACAAGCCGGATGACCTCCACCTCGCGGGTCTGGCCGACCCGGTGGGCGCGGTTCTCGGCCTGCACGTCTTCCTGTGGGTTGAAGCTGGAGTCGAAAATGATGACCTTGTTGGCACACGCCAAGTTGATGCCCGCGCCGCCGGCCTTGGTCGACAGGAGGAAGACGGGGATGTCGGTGCGCTCGTGGAATGCATCAAGGATCGATTGCCGGTCTTCGACGTTGGTGCGGCCATCCAGGCGCACGAAGCCGAGCTGTTCGTGCTCCAGCACGTCCTCCAGGATGTCCATCACCATGGTGAACTGCGAGAAGACGAGGGTCCGGTCGCCCTTCTCCTGGAAGCGCCGGAGGAGCTCGCAGAGCTTGGCCACCTTGCCCGAGTCCATCCACTCGTTGTTCTTGAGGGCGAACCGGCTTAGTGCAGGGTATTTCACGCACATTGAGTGGCATTCGTAGTCGTTGTAGGGTTGAAGTTCCTCGAAAATGATGTCCGGGTTGGATTGGGAAAACTGTTCCTCTCTGAGGCAGGCCTTGGCCATGCGGCTGAGAATGGAATCGGTGTAGTGGCGTCTGTACAGCAATGGGTGAATGGCTGCTTGGCGGAGTTTCATTAGGATATTAGCGGATTTGTTGCCAGTTTTCTTGCCCGCGGCGCGATCCGCCAGCAGCTTCCGAACTTCCTCCTGTTCATGCTCGTAGATTTGTCGTTGCGCGTCGTTGAGTTCGCAGTACTCGACATGGGAGATCTTTGCAGGCAGATCGATGACCTGATGCTTCTTACGTCGTAGCACAAAGGGCTTCAGCATCGATTTCGCGCGTTCAATACGCTGCGCGGAAAGCAATGCGGAGTGTGACTCGTCGACGGTCTTCGCTTTGTTCGCGAAGATGTGATGGAGCTCATCCTTGCGCTCTCGGAACACTTTGGGAAGAATAAATCCCAGTAAGGAAGCCAGCTCTTGTAGGTTGTTTTGTAACGGTGTACCCGTCAATAGAAGTCTGAAACGTGCCGGGATGCGGATCAGCTTCTCGTATAGCACCGAGGTACTGCTCTTCAACATGTGTCCCTCGTCATAGACACAAACGCAGAAGTCCATATTGCGTAGGAAGTGCGCATCAACCTTGCCCTTCGCAATAGTATAAGTGGTGATGACAACGTTGATGCTGTCTCTATTATCCTCAATCGTCTCCCGGATCTCCGCACGCTCAGCCTGGCCGGCATAATAAGGCATGACAGAGAGGGTAGGGCAAAACTTCTGAAATTCACGCAGCCAATTCTCAATGGTAGATGCAGGTACGACAATGAGATGTGGCCCCTTGAATCCCTTCTCATAAAGATGAGCCAAGAAGGCAATGACTTGGCAGGTCTTTCCCAGGCCCATATCATCGGCCAAGATGCAACTCAACTCGTGTTCGAACAGTAATGAGAGCCAGTTGATACCCACAATTTGATAGTTCTTCATCTTCAAGTCATCTCGCATGATTGAAGGCTGGGAAATGAATCGTCCTTTGCGTGCGGGCGCCACCCCACCGGGCGCGGGCCCGTCACTATCCTCATCCGAGGGTTGGCTTGCTGGGGTTCCTATGCCAGAGTCATGCGACTGAGAATCCCTAGGATCGATGGATACCAGCTCCAACTCTCCGTCTTTCTTCCCGAAGATATCCACTCCCCATTTTTTCATTTCCGCTGCAATCGGTTTACCTAGCGCTTCGCAGCGCGCGACGAGAGAATCGACGGCATCGTAGCCCACCCACATATCAACACACTTATCCACGATCTTGTCGCCAATTGGCTTGGGCGTCTTGCGACCGCGGGCCCCCTTCGGCTTCGCGTCTTCCTTCACGGGGGCAGGCACGGCGCGGACCTCGTCCAGAGACCTGAATGGCCGGTGCGAAATTACATGCTGTGCCACTTCCTCGGTAATAGCAGCAATATCCGCCAGGTCCAAGACGCTGCATGAGTTGAAAAATTTCAGTAATTTGAGATCAAACTGCACATCGCCAACCGCTTCCTCGACGTCCGATTCGGAGTCATCGTCAATGATTATGGCTTCTGGAGACTCCGAGCGCCGGGGAGTTTCCGGTCTGCGCCCCTGCACCAAACGACCCGGTTTCTTCGGAGGGGTTTCCGCATCAGGTTCCGGGCGAGACTGGTGACGAGACTCCGAGCGCACGGGGCTCGGGGACGAAACCCGGGTTTTGGGCCCCCTCATTAACCGTCTGCGCGGTTTGGCCTCATCGTCCTCCGCCTGCGCCGCCGCCGCCGGCTTCTGCGCGGCGAGCGTTCTCTGCAAGTTCGCCGCGGACCATTTGTCCTGGATAGTCCCTCTCGCCTTGATCTGCTGCTTCGCCGCCGGGGCCGCATTCGACTGGCGCGACATGGACAGTTCGTCGTCGGAAGAGCCATCCTTCCCTTGCGCACTGGCCAGGAGATCCAGCGCATCCTCGTAGTTTCCGCGCTTCGCTACGAGCGCTTGCACGCAGGACTGCACGGACTTCTGCGGCATGACCTTGAGCATTCTTTGCACCTTGATCTTGATATTATAGTCCTCGATACTGTCGAGCGAGTACTGCCCGTCGACGGGCTGGGCGCGCGAAGGGCCATCCTGTCGAACTTTCTTGACGGCCATCCCTTTCGGCGTGGGGTCCATCTGCGCGGCGGGACGTTTCGCAGGGTTGTAGATAGCGCTGGTGGTGATCTCCTTGAACCGGTCGATCGGCGAGTCCGCGACCTTATCCGGACTGCGCGAGGACTTGGTGAACATGGCTGGTTTGATGTCGGGGTTTTGTCGGTTCTGGACATCCTCGTCGGAAGACCCGCCTCGATACGTGGGGCCGTCATCTTCGAGATCGATGACCGGGGCACGCTTCGCCGGGCCTGCAGAGACCGGTGGCCGGAACATGGTGCCGCTGGGGGCCATCAGGTTGGAGAGACGGCCAGCGTTCGGGGTCGGACGGGAGGGGGAAGAGGTAGGACCTAGCGGGGAAGAGGCGGCAACTTGTACCACGGAGGTGCCCTTCGCAGTGTACGGATTGTCAATCAGCTGGGTCGGTTGCGTGAAGCGCTGAGAGGCCGGGGTCAGCGATTGAGTGGTCGCCGGTTGGTGGTGAGTAACAGGAACGGTGGCGACCGTCTCATATTGGGTATCCTCTTTGGTTGGAGTACCGGGAACGACTTTTTTGTCGTTCACAGGGGAGTCAGGCACTGAGTCTTCCATGACGGAATGACTCTTCAAAGAGAGAATTGGGAGTTTAAGAGAGTGAAAACAGAAATGTCGTCATGCGCCAGGGGAAATTGGGGGAATGATGAAGTAAAGAAAGCGGGGAGAGAGTCTCTGATAGAGTGTGAGAGGCAGAGAGAGAGAGAGAGGAAGAGAGAGAGAGAGCGGAACGGACGAAGTGATTGCCTCCTCCAACACGGTAAGCACCGTAAGTAAAGTTAAGTTTCTCTGGGTTTTTCTCCGCAAAACGCGCCCAGACGCGATCGATCACGTGAAGTGGCGCTTCAATTAAGCCCAGGAAAGGCAGTTGGATGTCGCTTCCACCAAGTTGTGGGAGGGAGTGCGGCCAGTGAGACAGCCACTGATCGTCTACATATATACTTACTAGGAGCTTGATTTAGGTATAACACCTAGTTATTAGATTCTCCTTCATGTTTGTTGCCTGGAATTGTCTATCAAAGTGTTCTCCAAGATCTATCCGATCGGGAACCAATCAGCAGCCCGAATCTACTGGATTCCGGGATGAGTTCACCCGCAATTATCATCACTGCAATATTCAAGTGTTGTTAAGCTGGAGTGTTTATTGTTCCTTCTCCTCATTTGAATCGGCAAGAAAGGTGTCTTATCGAGAAGATCAATAATTCCCATCTGTAAAAGTATTACACTCTATCCTTGTTCCTGAGCAATCTATTCACACCTTCTCAGACCTACGCTGACACGTGGACCGCCAATCATCAAACATCATCACCATCGCCATCACAATCACTACCACCACCTCCACAAACCAGTCCACAATGTCCGCTCGTCGCGCAGTCGATAAATCCTCTGCTAAGGATGTTGTCACTCCGTCGAAATCCGAGAAGTCCTCTGACTCGGATGTAACCCCTGCAGTTCCCACGTAAGTGCATCCAATTCGTCCCTAGGTTGGGGGGCCACTCTACGCCACATGGCTCGCTGGTCGCGGTTGGCCCCAAGCCCGATATATTGGGAATGGTTGGTTCGGCTACCTGAAATACATCAAGTCAAAGCAGAGCAGCTCGTGCTGTCTGGAATGGTGTGGAGACACAGCCGTCACTGACAGTTGAACTCCCAGAAATGTGATCATGAAATTGCTGGGCTTCTCCGCCGCCATGGTGATTGCACCTATTGGCATCTACTTTGTCACGGTTGATTTCATCGGTGGTACGTTGCCCTGGGAGTAATTCTTCTGGAAGAGCAAAAGATAGGCATGGTATTGACCCAGGAATTCAGGAAGTGCCACTGTCGGCGGCATCGTTGCAGCCATCATGGCCAACATCGTCCTCTTCTCCTACGTCTACGTCGCGTGGAAAGACGACCAGGCGGAGAGAGAGGCCGACGCCAAGCAGAAGGAGAAGAAGGCGCAGTAGTTGCAGGTTCCGAGTATGATTTGGTCTTTGTTTTTAAATATCATTCAATACCAGGTGTTTGATCTATGGGCGTTCAAGGGCAGTTGCGTGTATGCTATGTATCTATCATGTGTCTATGGGTGATTGCTCCAGAATATCAATTTGCAAGTCCTATTATGACCGAGCATCGGTGCTTATCGTCAGGCGTAGACCGTTATTGTCCAATCGCAACAAACACTACGCTAGCAGACTGCCGATACTCCTAGTCATGCTGTCGAGGGTTTGGGGGGTGTAGGCAAAGGGCTTTCTCGAAACCAGGGTATAGTAAAACCGCGCCCTGGGATGCGTTTGCTAAGCTTGGAGAAGGGCCGTCCAGGGAATCAAACATTGGGCCAGATTAAAGAAGAATAATTTGATCAAAATCAAGTCGGGCGCCTCTTGACGAACTCCTCCAAGTCCGCCTTGGTCGCCACGCCGAGCACGAACTTCCGCGACGCATCTGTGACAACCGCGAAGGTCTGCCTAGCCCGGGTGGCTCCACTGGCATCGGTCTCGCTCTCGAAGAATTGTTCCAGCTCCTCCAGCGGGGTTTCCATCGTGATCACTTGGTATGTGCCTCGCTTGCGGTTGAACCGCTGCATGGCAGCGGAGACTGAGTCAGTTTCCTTCACGGCGCCTTCCTTCAGCAATTCCTTGAGGCGGGGAATGCTCAGGTATCCGAGGAGAGAGCGTTTCGTCGAGGAGATGACGGTGAGGTGTGTGTAATCGCGCTCGTACGCAGCGAGTAGAGCAGAGGAGATTGGGTCGTCGGGGGAGACAGACAGCGCCGGGGGAGGGTCAAGGTCCTCGATCGTGGCCTAGATTCGCAAGTCAGTTTTCCGAGAGAGTCCCCATGTCTTGGGGCAGCGTTGTACTGACCCCACGGTACTTGTCGGCCCAGGCGGACTGCGAGACCGGCTGCTGTGCATCCTGAGCGAGCTTCTGTTGGGCGAAAGCTTCACTTGCGCTCAAGTAAGAGGCCATGGTGGGCGGAGGTGGTAGTAGTAATAGTGAAAGTGAGGGAGGGGTACGTGGGGACTGAGGAGTCCGTTCGCTTGGTGATGCACGGAGCGTTCAATTCGACAATGGTTGTCGGGGAGCGAAATTAGAATCCCGGGTTTGAACGGCGTGGAAATGAACAGGTGAGGTTGATATTGCGTGAGTCAAGCATCCACTCGGTCACTGTCAGGTGGGAAGTTAAGTGATCGGGACCAAAATTCAATCCATCGCCGAGCGGGCCTGCCAGTTGGTGGGATGAGCTGAATCGGGTTAGCCTCCGCCTGGCTCCCGTGCGACGTCATGAACCGGCAGAACCGCCCATTTCAATTCCACCCCCCCAGCTCATTGTCATCACTTCCTTTCCCCATTCCTCGAACCCTTCCATCCCGAAGACATCACCGAAGCTCCACACTTTCCGTGGTCAACCCTTTCTGTTTTCAGCTCACGTCGTGCCTGGTGACTCAGAGCATAGGGTCCCAAGCTTGCCGTCGATCAATTCTTCCATACTCTTTTAACTCCGCTCTATCTCCACCGCTGAAAGTGGGGGCCGATTGTAGACATACTTATAGATAAGGAGCCTGTCAGTCCAGCTTTCTTGGGTTTTTATCCATCGGCCATCACACTTTTCGTTGTGAATACCCTAACGTGCTCTGCAGCGCGACTGGAACATTCTAGCCATCATGTTTCCTACTGAGGGCGTGATCGCGCAAGCATTTTCCTCTCAACATCCACTGGGACACTCCAACTCGCAGCCTCAGCCGTTGGCAGCGCCGGAAATGCAGAAGCGAGAGCCATTTCCTGCCTGGAGCGTGATTGAAGATACCAAGAAGAAGGCAGACGCGCTGGCTAAGGAAGCGACTCGGGAGCTCGATCTTGCAAGCCAGAAGGCTCAAGCCAAGACAGGCAAGATTGAACCATGGACTCCCAAATACTATGCGGCTTGCACTGTCGGTGGACTGCTTGCCTGCGTGAGTATCAGATCATACATGGGATACTTATTTTAGAGGGTATACGATCCTAAATGTACTAATAGTTGCCCCGTGCATAGGGTCTGACCCACACCGCTGTGACCCCTCTAGACTTGATCAAGTGTCGCCGTCAGGTCGATCCTCTCCTATACAAGAGCAATCTAGAGGCATTCCGCACAATCCGTGGGGCTGAAGGACTGCGAGGAGTATTTACTGGCTGGGGACCAACCTTCTTTGGTTACAGCGTAAGCGTGGGTGTCCATGCAATCACCCTTTCTTGCTGACTCGTTGAAAGGCCCAAGGTGCATTCAAGTACGGCGGCTATGAGTACTTCAAGAAGTTCTACAGTGACCTTGTGGGCGTGGAAAATGCGACTCGATGGAAGACATCTTTGTACCTGGCGGCCAGTGCGTCTGCAGAGCTTATCGCCGACGTAGCCCTCTGTCCTTTTGAGGCCGTCAAAGTACGTATGCAGACAACCATTCCTCCGGGCATCCGGTCGACCTTCACCGGCATCTCCAACGTCGTCTCCAAAGAGGGCGTGGCTGGGTGAGTAGCGTCCTTTGTCTGCCATATGGTCGAAAGGTAGCAGCTGACCTATTCAGTCTATACAAGGGTCTCTATCCATTGTGGGGGCGTCAGATTCCGTACACCATGATGAAATTCGCGTCCTTTGAGACCATTGTTGAGATGATCTACAATTACCTCCCCGGCCAGAAGTCCGATTACAACAAGGGTGCTCAGACTACCGTGGCCTTCACTGGTGGTTATCTGGCCGGTATCCTTTGCGCAGTTGTGTCGCACCCCGCCGATGTGATGGTCAGCAAGCTGAATGCCAACCGTCAGCCTGGCGAAGCCTTCGGCGCAGCGATGAGTCGCATCTATAAGGACATTGGATTCCGCGGCCTGTGGAATGGTCTTCCCGTCCGTATTGTCATGATCGGCACCTTGGTAAGTCTTCCTGGGTCTAATCTTAGAGATTCTGACTGACAGCATATCACGTATAGACCGGACTTCAATGGATGATGTACGTATTACCTCATGACCATCACAGTCGATCTTTTCTCAGACAGGAGCTGACCTGTGACAGTTACGATTCGTTCAAGATCTTCATGGGTCTGCCGACGACCGGCGGAGGCCCAGCTGCGGAGAAGAAGTAGTTAGTGGTGAGTAGATGCTTTGGCCACTTTGAATGGTCTTGTCTGGTCTGTATGCACTTTTCTAGTCCCTGCAAAACGTACTGTAGTTATCTCTGAGAAGGGGTAGTCAGAATTTCCGTACAATGATGAGATTATTTGCACTTGTGGCAGGCTCAGCAGCGAGCACCGAGGCCGGTGATAAAAACAGGGGCATGGCGGCAATCTGCGCCTGAGGCCTTATCGGCGGACAAACCCGCTTTAGTCACGCATGGAACCAATCACACCCGAAGGAGCATCTTATCAGTATCAAGACGTCATCTCCCCTGCCGCGCATGGCTGGAGATACGATAACTACGGATGTGAGTAAACTTAGTAAAGTAACTTCCAGTTCGCTCAGTAATTAGCCGATGGGCAAGACGCCTGGTCCTGCAGCCCTTCAGGTGGGACTGACACTAGAAGAGATTAAGTTTTCCATGGTCCCTTGACCTCGGGTGGGAGAGTCATCTCGAACACTCGAACACTCCGAAGGCGCGGTGCGGTGGCCCAGCCCGACAAAGTAACTTACCAGGGCCGTAATCCGTTGCGACACGAACTATTATATATTGCGACGAACCTCCTTCCGCCACCATATTTCAGTCACATCTGACATACTCTTGCACTCCCCTTGACATTGAGCACGCAAACAGATCGCATAGTCTTCAAACCAAAGACAACTTCACTTCAATCTACAAGGTATGCCCCCCTCCCCCCGTCACTCGTTGCGCCCAATCCGTCTACTCCATCGCATCGCATCCCGCTATCGCGCAATCACCATCAGACGACCCCAAACTAACCGCCGAACGTCCCAACCAGCAGACCACAAAACGCACCCTCGCAACACCTCAAAAGAATAAAAAAAAATGGGCGAACACGACCCCATCGTATCGCACGGCCGAGGAGGTACGCAATCCACCCCGAACCATCCCTCGTCCCTTGCAAACCTCATCCTTATCTCCCACCCTCCCACCACCAAACCCCCCGACTCTCCAACTCCCGAACTCATCCATACTAACAACAAGCAACAAACCAGGCCAAGGCAACATCGGCGCCGACTCAACCGAGTAAAACCACCTACCACCCAGCCCCCACACCTCAAACAAACACCCTAACCCCACCCCGTTGAATGAATCTAGATACGTCGACGCCGCCATCGTCCGTGAAGGTATCTACGGCGACCAAGGCGACGGCGCCTACTCCGCCGGTGTAAGCCACCCACACCCACACCCACACCTCAACCCAAATCTAACCTCCTCAAAAAGCGCGGCGGAGCAGGCAACATCGGCTCCCCGCACGTCCGTCCCACCTCGAAGGTGCCGCACGACGCGGAAATGATCCCCGAGCTGGCGATCCGGCAGTCCGTCGACGGGGATTATCATACTGGTGTAAGTAGCCCAGCCCCTTTCCTTTTATCAAAATAAGGAAATCGTTTAGAATTGAAGTACAATGCTGATTTTTTTCGTTCCCCCGGAAAGCGCGGCGGACAAGGCAACGTGCATCTCGACGAGGAACACCGCAAGGAGAAGGAGAAGAAGCAGCAGCACCGGCATGATCAGTATGAGGGGTTGGCGGATAAATTGAAGTATAAGATTTTTGGGCGCAAGTGAGCTTGAGGCATCAGATTCGCTGTTGGTGGTAGATATGGATTGGATGAGGTAGAGATGAGGTGAGGTGGGTTTTCTTTTTTCTGTCTTGGGCTTGGATTTTTTTCTTGGTTGATTCCCTGGTTTGTTTAGTTGTTTGCGATTGCGAGTCGGATACTGGGGAGGAGGTATAGTACTAGGTAGTGTTGGTAATAATTACTCCATTTTGCTGCCGTACTTCCCCATACACCGTCTATCATAGGTATAATGAAAACACCGAAGAATCGAAGTATAAAGATTGGATCGAATGAAACCAACTTCTCGTGTCTTTTGTCCATTCAATAAAAAGGATCGGTAGATTCGCCATTGGTATCGGGACAACATCAGAAATCGATTGGAGGGAAAAAAACAATGCCTGGGTAAGGGGGGGGCCGGGGTTCCATCAAATATCATAAAAAGGAGAGCAAGGCATTCCGTGTATCATGGTCTCGTCAACCCATCAACCTCATGCGAAATGTGAAAGTAGAAAGAAAGCCTCAGATAATTACACGAGTGAACTCGAAACAAAAACGAATCCAACTCCTCGAGCGAAAACGTACACAATCCATGCCGAGTAATCCCAGTGTTGTTGTGTTCAGCGCAAGCATGTTGTAAAAGGGAAGGTGTTAAGGGAATCTCCGTTTGAACGCCGGTTTTGACTGTAGTACACCCATACAAAGAAAGGAGGCGAGAAGAAAAAGGGACGAGGGCGACCACCAGGATCGTCGAATCGGGGAGGGGGTTTGGTTTTAGTTCTTGCTGAAGCGACGTTTGAACCAGCTCTTGCGCTTCGAATCATTGCTCATCTCGGTATCGTTTGTCGCTTTGCGCAGATGACGACGGCCGTTCGCCGCCGTGGGTGGTGGACCACCTCCGACGGGGCCCCCGGCGTTGGGATCAACGGCTGGAGGATTACTGCTGCCAAAGTTGATGCGTCCACCGGCGGCGGCGGGCTGACCACTTTCGAAACTGGGACCCGCGCCGAACCCTTGAAACCCGTAACTCTCAGCCATCTGCTGCTGCTGCTGATACTGTTGTTGTTGTTGTTGTTGTTGCTGTAGTTGCTGCTGCTGGTGGAACTGATCGTTCGAGCTGTTGACCGAACTTGGGTCCGTCGAATTGGCCCAGGTCTCGCCGTTGCTGCCCGAGCCCGAGCCAGACGCAGCAGTCACATTGTCGTATGACTTTTGGTATGCGTGCTGCGAATATCCGCTCTGTTCGGTGTTCATCCGCGCTTGGTGGCGTGGTCGCGGTCGGCCGCCGCCGCCATGATTGTAGGGGTAGTAGTTGTCGGCTTGGCCGTTGCCGTTCTCCACGTAGCTGTCCGGTCGCGAATAGGTGCCGCGGCTGTTGTGGTAGCCATTCTGGTCGTAGTGCGCTCTGCTGGAATACCCTCCGTTGGGCGCTGTAGGGACCCTCAATTAGCACAGTGAAACTTCGCCATTAACAGACCAGCACGTTGACAATGCGAGGCGCATGCCCCCTGGTAGGTGAGGGAGGGAGGGAGGGAGTCGTACCTCCATAGTAGCTTCCCCGTCGGCTGTACTCTGGCGTCGCGGGTGTTGATTCCTCTGCTAGGTATCATTAATTTGATGCCGGAATCAGCCTGCCGAAGTAAGGGGGATAGACTCACCTGTCCTTGCGTACGACACAGGCCTACTGCTGTATGATCCATAGATCGCAGCTTCGAAGGAACGGATAGTGTCAAGCGGGCGCTCAAATCTCGGGCGCGTTGGATTTGAAAGGTCGGGATCAGCTATTTCAGCAAAGAGAGGGGGCAACAGTTAGTACAAAGGCTCCCCCGCATGAACGAACACATCTGAGACATTGAAGGGAGGTAAACGTACTAATGACATTGCCGTACTGATCCTTGTGCTGCATAGTCCGCAAGGAACCCAGCGTCGACTCTTCCAGAGCAACCGTATCTAGGAAACATAGTTAGTCGGGAAGGTTTGCGCACAGCCACCCGAGCGACGTGAGAACTTGGCGAAAAGTGGAGTAAACAGTGTTTGGGGATAGAATGGTAGGAAGAAACCAAAAAGGAGAATTGTCGGGGGAGTCAAGCTGGCCAGGAAGTGCGATAAGGGGGAATTTCCGGGTAGAGACGTACTAGGCTGCGCTTCGCTCATAGCAACCATCGGATCGGCTTTAGTGTTGAGATGACGGCGATGCTTCTCTTCGGCGGATTCAGTGAGTTGGATTTTCTTGCTGGAATGGCCCGACTGTTGAGACTTATTCGACTTCCCACTAAAACTGTAACCCCGATTATGCCTGGGAGGAGGCGCGACCGACTGGGAGGTGGCCATGGTTATTTATCGTCGGGGACTCCTGCTTTAGCGCCTGATAACCAACAACTGCAGCAGGTTTTCGCAGCGCGCTGTCTTAGCTATGGCGGCGGGTGTGGAGCGCAAGCACGATCCAGGTGGGAACTGCCAAGGATCGAACGATGATCGCTGGCAACGATTTCTGCCTTTCTGTGGTTTTCGGACGTTTTTGTTCGCGGTTTCAGAACTGCACGACTCAGTCCAGCCAACGAGAGGAACGAGCGACCAGAACGTGGGGTATTGAGACCACTTTTCTTATGGATCACGTTGCAGACTGCGGAGGGAGTCGAACTTCTATACACGTTCTCGAACAGTAGCTTCTGCGGGCGACGAATTGATTTGGCAGTATGGTTGTTGAGTTGTTCTCTCGTCTCTTACAATGACAGAACAACAAGTTCGACGACGGCGATGCGAACCAGGAATTGGTAGCGTCGAGTAGCGTCAAGTCAACGAGCGAAATGGGTGGAGACCGTCGCTTTTAAGGCTAGCAGTGAAGGTACGTATGTTAACTACCGAAGACTCCACAGACAGGACAGTGAGTTCTTTTGTAGAGTGATGGTTCTGTCAAAGCACACAAGTCAAGCGATTGTGGTTGTCACACAGCGATCGACAGTAGGGAAAATGACGCCGGTGCTAAAGTAGTGTGTGGTAGGCCGGTTTGGAGAGGAGGGGGGAGGGGGGGATAATGGAGGGAGTTATGTGCAGAATGGATGGGTGGAGAAGAATTCAACAAAGCACTCAAACGAAGGTCAACAAACTGGCCTCAAACAAGAAGTAACTGAAGAAATCAGAATTCAAGTCAAGCGACCATGGAGGGAGGGTCATTGAGGGTATTTGACTTGAGAATTGGCCAGTGGTGTTGACGACAGGCGCCACGCAATTAAGAGGGGATCACTTCCTGGGAGTCTGGGACCCGATGGATGGACAAATTGAGACTCTGCCTATCAGATGGAGAGCAGACCACTGGGGAGGATCACCGGATCTTCTTTTTTCTTCGCAACGCTTGTTTGTCTCTATTAATACTCTAATGTTCGTATGTGTGCGTGGGTTATGGGTTATGGGTGAGTGGGTGAGTGGGTGGGTAGTCAGTGGTGAGATTGACAATTTGGGATAATCCTTTCATAATGAATGGATGAATGAATACTGCCAACTGCACAACTTCTCTTTCTTATCTACCCCAGAAAGCTTCGATCAAGTGTCTGTCCACCACCATCACCATTACTACTAGTAACTTATCACCACCTTCATCTCTCCATTGACCATCCACTCAACACTCTTGACTGGACTCAACTGAATCACCTGAATCACAGTCTGTCAATTGGAGTATTGCATACTCAGCCACCTGCATCGCTACTTTTGCCCCGGTTAAAGAAAGATGAGGCCCAGCCTGGGTTGGGGATTGAACTTATCCTTGGGACTATCGGATATCTTCACAAACCAGGAAGAACCGGATACTTAGTAGCCATACTTCGCCCAGTGTTACGCCAGCTTTCCCCTCCCCTGGTCATGACCCGGCCAATCACTTAGGAGGAAAGGGGCCCAACCACCGTCTGGAAGACTCTCGTTGGCCTCAGATCCATGGACTAGGACTGGCACCATGTGTCACCGTATCCCCCCCAGGGACGAACCTGGTCCAGATCATCACAAATCACAGATTCGCTGTCAGTCATGGATGGATTGCTTTGTATTGAGTACAGTACATTCTCTTGCCGCCTGATCGACCCCTGCTGGTGTGCACATCATCAATGCCGAATTCAGTCGACGATTCCAGACTCGAATCTGAAGTAAGCATGGAAGATCAATCATCTGCCATCGACATCATTCTGACTCAAATTTGAGGGCTGCTCTCTGCCTTAAGGTTTTTTTTTTTTTTCACTCATCACTCACGAACCAGTCGGCCTTTTCCTCTTCTTCGTACATACTTATCAGTTCCAGACGGAACTCCCGACCATGGTTTATTTTTGGCCGGGACTCCGGCCACGCTTAGCCTTTTTGTTTCTTAGTCGCTTACTGGTCTTGCTTTTCCCGTATGCCGATACGACGGACATGATCTGATCCAGTCCGGATTTTGGAGGCAGGCCATTGTTATTGCAAAGCAAGAAGAGAAAATCTTGATCCATCCACACTGCACGGCTGCTCACTAACTAAGTCGAGGAACGCGCACTAGTCAACTAATCCTGCTCCGTCGGCTTCCAATTGGCCTGGCATGAAAACTTGGAATATGTCTGCCTGTCGCCCTCTCAGTGGCTCGAGAAGATAATGCTGGTTGTCGGAGGTCGGACTGCAGCTCGCCTACAACAGCACGTCCCACCGACTCAGCTGCTGTGCGCCAGCCATACTTGCTACCCTTCCGAGACAACGCCACACAAACCCAGCCCCTTCTAATTAGTGGGATGAAGATTGACTATCAGCATCTCTAATGAGGAAGCAGGAAATTGCTGATCTATAGTGGTGGGGTCATGCCTCGCAGCAATGAGTTTTTTTTTTCACTCGGACAGCCTCATTCGAAGAAAGGTGAAACCAACTTTAGAAATCAGAAAGAAAAGCTGTATGGTACAGTAGTATGAAGTATGAAGGTCAAAGCAAGGTCAGGCTAAGACATTTCCACCCCCGATGAATCGATCCTTCCAGAATGGTTCTCCGACTCGGTAGCAGCCATCACCAAGCCGCGCGGTTGACGAGATCGTGCCGATCCCTATCATTCTTCCTGCAGTGGGTCACGCTGGGGCGGGGATGGCGCTTACTTTATTTCTTCTTATTTACTCACTAAATTCCAACCAACGCTCTCCCTGCAAGGGAGTCGTCTTTCCATATCAGAACGGTTCTCGCAGCCTTGTTTACCGGGCAGTTGATCTTCGATCTCATCAACCACGATGTAATCACGCAGCTGTCGATCGACATGTCCTACCTTTCCCAAGTCTAGTGCATGCTTCGGTGTAGTGAAAACATATATTTAAGTGCAGGATGAGCCACATTGGTGTCCTGAATATGTCCACCGTCTTGCTTATCGTCAGAAGCACACCGCCGTCCTCTTAATACTTACTCCGACTCGCGCAATCGGCTGGACACCATCCAGACATTACGTATAGAGAGAGAGCTGGCACTCCGCCCGCCATCCGAGGAGATCCACAATCAATCAATCAATCAATCAATCAATCAATCAATCAATCAATCAAACCACTTTAGAATGACGTCGTTGTTTCAATCTGTCCATGCTTGACTACAATCCGACCACGTTCATCTGCTAAATATCTCCAAATGTCATCGAACCCTGCCACAAGAAAACCCGGCAGTCACACGCTATGAAAAGGCGTAGGACGTATATCCCATAGCAAAATCTCTTGATTTATAAGCTAGAACAAAATCCCCAGAATCCGCGGTATCGGCCCCAGATTGAGGAAACTATGATAGATACTACTGTCCATTGCCCGGGGGAAAATACATTCATGCGACATCCCCCCAAATTCTACAGACCGTCTACTTCAATAGATCGGAGATGAATTCGCTATACATGGCAACGCGTCTGTGCGTGGGGTCTGGGGCGAATTCGGTGTGATGCAGTCAGTGAAAGGTACTGTGCCATTTGGGATAAGACAGAAGAGACTCTGTTTGTGATAGCTGCACTGGCGCGAGGGAAGGGGTTGGTTGTGGTTATGGATTGAGTGCGAAGGGTTGTCTTTGAGTTGGCAGTGGTCAATATGGGTTCTCTTGTCGATGATATCTACTATGGTTACTACTAGGTAGTGTCCACCCCGTGATGGAAAGAGCATTCCGAAATTGATTGATTGCTTGATAGATCGTGACGTACATGCTATGCGGAGTCACGATCTGTGCCACAGTCATTTTGGTCAGGACTCGTGCATGAAATCGAATATACCACACCTCTTTTCCTTTTCTCGAAGCCCTATACTACAATTTGTGAAGCGTGTGGGTAGAAGGTTGTGGATTGTGAGTGGTATCGAGGCAGATGGGAGGTAGAAAGTGCGGAAACTACTACAATCCGGGAGTCGTGGGCAGTGCGGAGAGGTTAGTTGAGCTGGGGTGTGTTTGTTCCGCGCTGGATTACCGCGTTTGTGGCTGTTATCATGCGCCTGAGCGAACGTACCGTGCATCAAGAGACGACAGACACGCTGGGCTTGCGTGGGCTAAGGGAGGGAAGGCAACAATAGTCGCTGGAGCCTCGTTGAGACCTGGAAATAGTTTCTGGTTTGAACCGGGCAGGGCAGGGCACAAGTGGGCGATGGAGTTTCGAACCTGAAGTCTACCCTTGCGCATCGGTGGAATCAGTTGCTGGCTACGAAGCAGGCATGGCATATTCAAACAGGCTGAGCTCTGAGAATATCGTCTTTGCGTGTCGATTGATTTGAGATCGGGGATAGGGCATCTGGTTGAGATCGGCGGTTGTTGTTGCATATGGGAATCTCAAAAGTAGAATGAATGCTCCGGATGGTGACACATGCTTGACCGAATGTACACAGTTAACTCCCAAAAGCCATCTCGGTTGCCAAAAATCTCTCCTGATACGGTCGGTACTACCCGAAACTCAGAACGAATGAAGGATCCGTGGTGTTGAAATGGTATGGATTGTGTTGTTTATGAGCGTCAGTACATGAGATGTGGAAGAAAGCCATGCTGCCGGCCAAGGCACACCAAGAGCCCCCCAGTACTGAAACTGGATGGAGCCCTTCGTCTATATGCCCATGGTCCGGTAGGTCACCATGCTGGAAAAAAGAAGAAAGAAGTTCTTTTGATTTAGTTTCGTAGGGCTAACCGGCCCTGCCTCTCCCACGAACATTACCAACCCGCCAACTCCATCTCAACATCGGCTCATACCGTCGACTCCTTGCCCGACTATTTGCGCGAAATTAGATCCGGAGTGCCATCCATCATATCGAAAAAAGGGCGTCATTTAGATGTTGGAGGGGTAGAGCATGACACGGACGGTGGCGCCGAGGGACTTGGGGGGGAGGTTGTGGCGGAACTGAGCGCGGACAACACCGGAGTTGCCTATTCATCGACCGTGTTAGTGGCCTCGTTCCTGAATCACCGCAGCACCTGACTTCTTCTCTCGCTGCGCGGATCTCGACGGTCGTCCTCTTCGCGGATGAGGTTGATTCGTTCACGTACCGTGAGGGCGGGTGACCTTGCCCCAGATGACCCGGATGTTCGAGCCACGGACCTCACGCTTAGCCCGGTAGACGAAAGCGACCTTCTTGCCGAGGTAGAAGTTGGCAGCCTCGGTGTTGGTAACACCGTCGATCTGGATCAGACTATATTTCCCAAGATTGTCAGATTCCCATTGTTTCCGACGTCGATGTTCTGATGAGTGAATCGGTACCTGGTGTTGCAGTTGACAGCACGCTTGGAGCGCTGGAAGCTCAGGTGGCGACCCCTAGTGAAGAAATTCGTATTAACCCGACTGCCCTGATTGTTTCCCATCGCGCTTCAA